CATACAAAATACGGCATTGCACATTTATGAAAAAATAAGTACATCAATCATTGACTAGAAAGCCTAGAAGTCTTTGTAATTAAGTCAACCTTCAAGACCTCCATGTTTGGATGTTCCATTTTTTCCACTCGACTCGGATAATTGCTTTATAATTTGCCAAATGCTCAAAGTCCTTCGCTAAATAATACCCTATTGTTTTAGCCTAATCATACTTATAACTTTTAATACATTCAGTTTGTTATACAGTTTTACTATGAAGCCATCAGATGACACGACTTGTGGAGTCATCCACACTTATTAACAAAAAGAAAATTGACATATGTCCTACAATAAATATAATTTGGACATGTGTCAATACGTTAAGGAATGAATGGGTATTTGTAGTTCGTGCTTTCGCGAGCCGATTCACGCTGTGCTGGTGAATTGATGAACCAAAATCTTTTAGAAAAGAGAATTTATGAAGGAAGATAGAAAGGGGTGTAAAACAGAGAAAAACAAATTTATTGAGACACATCCTAACAAAACAGTACAACAAGAAGTCCTGAGAAAACTCGGCTCAACAAGGAGTGCAAGTAAAGGGACTCGGTCACTGGGCACGGGAAAACCCATTTGTCATACAAGTAATAATGTTACACAACCAGAAAACAAAGCTAACATGAAATCAAAAGCAATGGTCCATATACATGATATAGCTCCAGGTACAATACAAAGGAAATCAGATATACGTCCCATAAACTATTGTTCACAAATCATATCCTAAAACAGGCTGCAAAAGACACGAGATAAGATAAACCGTAAATCAGATGAGGACAAATTCAAAGGAGCAGAAAACGTTTTAAGGTTCCAAAGGTATTACTTACCTGCAGCCATCAAAGGTTGCAATGAAGCTAAGCATTGACTAGGAATCTGTAAGACATGTTGCGTTTAGTGAACAGAGAAAAGAGATTATACGTTTCAGCATATTATAAAAGCATTTTCGTGATTAATCTTTGAAGTCTCCATTCGAAAACTAATCAAATACAAAGAGGCATCAAGCCAATTAGGAAACATATTAGGTTTCATAATGCAATAATTGATAGCGGCGAAAGATGGTCGGATTGCTTCAACTAAGAATCAAAAGAAAATAAGATTGACACAATAACCTGCCACATGAAGTATATGTTGTAAGTCGATCTTATTGGTAACATGGCATTATCAATAGCAGGCACTTAAAAGTTAAATCTTGTACAACAGCATCTGATTATTGATGAATAATATAAGATTCATGTTCTAAAAGGATAGATAACCAAAGGACACAAGAATCGTCTATTAATGCAGTCTATTATTTATGATTTTGCATGGTATATATAGCTGCAACTTGCTGAAGCGAATATGCAGATTCACTCTAGCAGTACAGAACTTCTTTTGGACAACATTTACCTTTTTTTTTTCGGCACTATCCAACTTCGCAAATAGGCCTATACATGTTGCGATGAATAAGGTTCAGATACAAAAACTTATGCAAAGTACGCGTGAAAACATGTCATATATTGTTTTAAACAAATGAGAATACAATTATCCCCATACCATCTTGGACCCTCGATCATACATTGAGCAGCCAGAATTAGAACTTCTATATTTTTGGCAAAATATAATGGTTTGCAAAAACAATTTTCAGATGAGATTTCATTTGTTACATGAAGTTTTTGTTCAGCAGCTTGAGCTAGCAACTAAAACAAATGGGTGAAATGGACATAACGACACCTACTATTTAAGATAACGATCAAAGAATGGCATTTTGAAAACAAAAAGGGCAGCACAATAAAAGTAAGATTTAACACATTGATGCTAAGAGGAGAAAGGGACACACCAGTATCTATATATTGCAGTCCAAGATAAAATAAAGTCGAGTACCCCAAGTATGTTCTCAACATTCAAACAATACTAAATTCACCCCAGCTTCAATTTTACAATAAACAAAGACTAGGCAATCAACTTTAACTCACCATAACAAATCAAGCACATATATAAAAGCTACAATTTCTACATGTAGATCAATACCTAATCATCCGATAGATCACAAACAATGACAAGTATATAACCCAACCTCAGCACATAATTTCGCCATTTTCCAAAAATCTCAGCAAGATAACAAAGAAACTTGCATAAGAAAACCAAAAAGGCTCTCACATTGAGCATAAGAAAAATACTGACCTTTCCTACCATCCGTTGCATCATGATATTCAGGCTCCTCCTCCTCCGTGGCGGCAGAAGCCACAGATACCACCGGCTCATCTCCACCTCCGGCGCTGTCCTTCTCATCCGGATACCTCACAACAACTACAGGGCAAACACAATGCCTCACGCAGTAATCGCTCACACTTCCGAGCCTCTCGTCGCTACCCCTCTTAGTAGCCCCAAATCCCCTGCTCCCCATGATGACGGCGCTCAAACCCAGCCTCTCAACCTCCAAACAGAGCCTCTCCTTCATGTCGTGGTCCTTGACGATATGGATTTTGAAGGGGATCTGCGCCTCCACAAGCGGCTGGGCCATATCGGCAGCTTTCGTGGAGGTGAAAGCGTCAAAATCGTCTTCAAGCTTCCGTTGGGACTCCTCGCTGGAGGCGTCGATGGAACTAGAGGGGTCGACGGAACCCCAATCAGCGCCGTAGAGGACGGAGGTCGGGCGGACGTGGAGGAGGACAACTGCGTCCCCGGGGCGGAGGTAGTGGCGGACGGACCACTTGACGGCGAAGGCCGACTCGTCGCTGAGGTCCACGGCGATGCCGATCTTGCGCTGGGCGTTGGCGGTGGGGGTGTCGGTGGAGAGGGGTGTGGTAGGAGGGGGGAATCGCGGGGAGGAGGAGCGGACCTTAATGGCAGCGAGAGGTGGCAGGTCGGAGTCCGGCGGCTGGTGCTGCATTTCTCACGGTTAGGGTTGTTTGGTTGGTTTGACTTGTGTTTGTCGGGTGTGTTGACTATGTATCTAAAAATTAAAATGGAGACGAATGTTAGGCAATTGCAATTGGCTAATAATTGTGGGAGAATTTTGGAATATGCCAGGAATATCGGGGCCCAATTAAACGCAAGCCCAAAATAAACTCTAGCTATACGGCCCGGGCCACGCAGATCAAACTTCAAGCTCATACTCATTTAATAAACAATTCAAAAGCTCAACTCGTAAGTCGTATAATAAACTTAAAGCTTTAAATTAGTTGTTTATGGATACTAAATATTCGCTCGTGAACAACAAACAAAAAATTGTTCGCAAACAAACTAAAACTTGTTTAATAAAGGAGTTCGACCAACAATTAGGCCCATACAATTAAATAACAGAATGACTGGAGTTTAAATATTTACGATGTGGAATGAACTGTATTCGCAAACAATTTGATCTGAAATACACTCCTCATACTTAGTAAGTTGAGTTTGAACTCTTACGAGTTACGAGCAAATCAAGTTGCATTCGTAAATAAGAAAGTCTAATCAACACTTTACGTATAGTGTCAACAACAATCATGGTATGATTAAGACAAAAAATAACAGATCGTTATGTAGCTGTTATTCTCTACTTACTAATCAAAGTGGACGTGCCGGAGTGGTTATCGGGCATGACTAGAAATCATGTGGGCTCTGCCCGCGCAGGTTCGAATCCTGCCGTCCACGATTTTTTAACAAATCCTTTTTATTATTCTTTTGCCCTTTGTGGGTTCCACTAGTGTGGTACCCGTGCGATGCACGGTGAGCGCATTACTTAAAACATATTGAAATACCTATTTAAATGTAATTGATTAAATTTAACACATCTAATTATGAAAACATAATTAAAATAAAAAAAATCATATATTATTAAAAACTTCTCTGTACACAACATTATTTGTTCGATTGAGAGGCGACTCATCTTCACCACATATTAAAATTTTCAAACCCTTTCTGTTGGTGACGCGAGAAACAACAACATATAACTGACCATGACTGAAAACTGGTTTCTTCAAGAATAAACCAACGTGGGATAACGATTGACCCTGGCTCTTGTTAATAGTCATTGCATAAGAGACCACGATTGGGAACTGCCTTCGTTGAAACTTAAAAGGTATTCGTGCATCCGAAGGAGTTATCGTCATTCGAGGTACCAACACTTTTTCCCCTGCATGGTCCCCCGTAAGTATCCTACATTCTAGGACATGCTTGGAGAGTCTGGTTATAACCAAACGTGTCCCATTGCACAATCCCATAGAATGATCCATGTTTCGCAACAGCATAACCGGAGTTCCCACCTTCAAATTCAACTCATGATTTGGCGTACCAGAACATTTGAGAGAATTTAAGAACTCAGGAGTGTGGATTTCTGAGAAGAAGTCAGAACTCTGGTCGGATTTACACGTACTGTCGGAGCTCAAATATACACGACCTTCTGTTAGATTCAATGACGACATGTATTGGTTAATAGATTCAACCATCTCCAACGTAGGTGCAAGTATGGCTCTGTCCTTCAAATAACTTGGATCATCTATTGCATTCTTGAACATTGGATGCGTGCTCTTAACAATTGCTGCAATGGGATCATCGGACGGAGCTATTAACAGATCATCTGGGATTTCAATGGAGGCACAACCATCGTTATAACCTCCAATAGTACCATCTCCGATGCTAGCAATCCAATCAGCAAAATTAGAAAGCTCCTCACGTTCATCCGAATCATCAAGGCTCTGAAGACGCATGTTCTTTGTAAGCCTAAGCACAGTACAATCTTGCCAAATGGTTGAAGCATTAATGGAAGCGTTAACAATTTGTTGACGATTTCCCTTTGGAATCATTGGGAGAATTTGTCGAAAATCTCCACCAAAAACGACAGTCTTGCCACCAAATGGTTTAAAATGGTTGATCGGGTTGACCGAACCCATGATCGCCTGAAATGATGTTTGAACAGCTTCGAAGCAATGTTTATGCATCATTGGAGCTTCATCCCATATGATGAGGGAGGACCGTATAATTAGTTCTGCAAGAGGGCTAGCCTGGTTGATGTCACACGATGAATTTTCGTGAAGATTAATTGGTATGCCAAAGCGAGAGTGTGCAGTTCTTCCACCAGGCAACAGAAGAGAAGCTATTCCATTCGATGCAACACAAAGCACGATCTCACCCTTTGATCGTAATCCCGCAGCTAAAGTCCTCCACAAATATGTCTTGCTGGTTCCGCCATAACCGTAGACAAAAAAAACACCGCCTTGACCCGAGTGTACCGCTTCCATAATCTTTGAATAAATTCCTTTCTGTTCGTCAGTCATATTTCTAATAAGAGTACTGTGCTCGACTGATAATGCCTTGCGGTCATAACTTAGCTCATCAAGAATCAAACGATTTGTATTTGTAGTAAAACTTGTCATATCAGGAAAAGGCATTGTTGGATATTCCCGAAGACTCGTGCCGCGACGTCTCAACAAATGTTCGATCTCAGCGAGAGCTAAATTATTTCTGTCTGCATCACTGAGCTGCAAGCCTAACAAAAGAAACGGAATTGAAGACATAATTTTATAAAAATCGAATACACTAATAAAAAAGGAAATGAAAAATATTAAATTAAACAATAAAATATAAATAAAGAATAAATAACATACTTTCATTATTGAAGAGAATACATTGCCTATAAGTGATGTCATCAGAGAGAAAATCCAAACACGTTTCCCATACGTGCTCGGGTCTACCTAAAGATCCCGAGACCAACAACATTGCAAACATACGTCGGAGAGAATCAGCAGATGCCCAATGACTTGCTTCAAATATCCCATCAATGTACTCACAATCGTCACCCAACAAACCCAGGGCATGGCAAG